ATTTCGCAAAACTTTTTTGAAGGGATTCATCCTCATCGCTGATTACTCTGCCAGGGAGAGGTTGGAAAGTGGATATAAATACCGGGTTCGTAAGGAAATGAGGCAAACAGGGATTTAGTTCACCAAGATAAAGCTTTAGTCATACCTCCCATTCAACCGTTGCATATCACAAGAAGCTGAAGGAAGAAGTGGGTATTCATGTTATTGCAACATAGCTATGTACAATCGGACTGTTGAAACGGGTACTGGGAAAGCGTTCTTTTCATACAGTAGATGGATTATAGAAAGTGGGTAGGAAGGAGTGTTGTGCTTTGGACATGAACCTTTACAACGGAGCATTTTGTTATATAAATTACGATGCACAGTCGTCGGATAGAGCATGACCGGATGTTGCGACATGGACAATAACGACGTGGTTAGGCTCCAAAATCGTTGTAATATAACGTACTCAATCCGATGTATTTATTACAACAGTGTACTCATTAACAATATAACCCATTTAAAGACTTCTACACGAATAAACGTCAAAAAATAAAACTGAACTTATGTTATTTCTAAAGATTTCAGGAGAAAACTAAACAGTTTCATTTTTTCACATATAGTCGTGTATAATTACTTAAATTCTTCAGTTCGCGTTACGAGCACTCAAGTCTCTAATCTACACTCTGTAAACAACACAACGATAAGTGTTCGGGTAATCAGAACCAACTGATATTTACATTTCACAGAGATATTAAGTTAATCAAAATCTCTGTTGAAAATAAAATCACCGAATAAGTTACAGTTTGTTAATTCGATAATCTCGACAAATACAAAGAAGCCTAGTGCTTAGTTTTCTCCATCAAACATGGGAAGAAAATCTTAACTCTTCTTTTGCTAGTCTGAAATACATAACTTTCTCCATTAAAACTATTATACACAGTATTGGAAATAATTATGGAAAAGTGTATAAAATGACACTCAATTATCGTGCCACAATGGCAAACGACAAGTCACCACAATATTAATAATTCCTGATGCCACAGTCCTGAAATTTGAACAATTTCATATGAGGAGACAATTTTACGTAAGGAAAACGATTGCAGTCAGTAAATAATTTAAATTTTCTATAAAAACTCGACATCAATCTGTTACCTAATAGCTCTAAAGATGAAGACCTGCGGTAAGTCTGAAGGTTTATAATGCTAAAAATCGGGATTCGATTCTAGTGGTGAGCGCAGCACAGACAGCCCAGTTTACATTTCTGTGCTTAACAACAAACAACCAAACATGAACAGAAATATCTCGTAATCTGGAGAGAAAAAAAAGAGATCAGCTTAAAGTTGAGATGAAACAGACATGGACAAAATATGGAAAGCAACAACACAAGCGAATATATAGCTGAACAAAAACAGTTAACAATATATATAGATAAAACACTAGGAAGAGGTAAAGAAATCTATATTATAAAAGTAAAATTTACTACATAAACGGATGTAACAAACCACTGGTAATACACAACTGTGTTGTTCATGTTTAACTATCGTGTTCTTACACATATTAATACACAAGGAACTCATACTGCCTCATGAACTGTATCATAAGAACCACTTGGTTTACAGGACTAAAGAACCATGATCCAGTGCCAACATACGTTCGTGTTAATCGACACATCTACGTATATGCCGTAAGAACCACTTGGTTTACAGGACTAAATAACCATGATCCAGTACCAACATACGTTCGTGTTATTCATATACATAGATGTGTCGTAAGAACCACTTGGTTTACAGGACTAAATAACCATGATCCAGTACCAACATACGTTCGTGTTATTCATATACGTAGATGTATCGTAAGTACCACTTGGTTTACAGGACTAAATAACCATGATCCAGTACCAACATACGTTCGTGTTATTCATATACGTAGATGTATCGTAAGTACCACTTGGTTTACAGGA